CGTAATTACGAGCATCGTTTTAACTTTTTCAGTCGGTGAAGTAGCGACTCGAGGACGACTTTTGCGCGAGTGTGTGACATAAACGACGATTTTTATAATTCGTTTCTTAATATAAGAAATAATAAAGATCCAAGGAGCCTATTTACGAATCGATACCGCGCTTTTATTAAGATACAAAGACGACGAAATTTGGCTTAATAAATCGCTCGAGTTGTTTACCGTGCAATAATTCCAACGATAGTATATATTTTGAGGTTATTAATTTTTTTAAAGAAACAATATTTTTTTTAAAGAAAACAATATCGCCTTTCATTACAATTTGTTATTTCATTACAAACGAATATAACGTATAAGTTGAAACAAAATGAAAAGAACGAGGCAAAATTACGGTTCTTTTTTTAAATATTGACGATAATATTAGAAATATAGTAAAAATGTGCCAATTTTATTTCGCTATTTGAATCTAAATCCGATGATTGGCCGCGATTGAGACTCGAGCGCATTAATGGATAGGATTAATTGGAAAGATAAAAAGAAAAAATTAACGAGGAAAATTACTTTGACGGCGTATCGTCCACGAGAAACGGGCGAGTTTCGCCGATTGCTCGAAGGCTTCCTCGAAGGCTTCTTTCTCGCGTTTGAGAAAAGATAACGCCGCCATTTTAGGGCTGACTGGTTAATTAAAAGAGCGAACTCAAAGTAAACTTTTTTCTTCTTCTTCTCTCTTAAACTGTTGTTGAAACAGAGAAATGTTCATCTTTAACAAGCAAAGGAGGAAGACAATATCGACGCTGATATCGAACCGTCGTTCCATCATCGACAACTATGCCAATCTCTCTATCCAACGATTAAACCCATTTCGATTAATCTTTTGCCCATTCCTTGAAAAGTCTACTTTCACCTCGCGACTCGTCACAATTCGAATATATAATAATTTTCGACGTACAATAAATACATGATAAAATTGGGAAAAAAAAATAAATAAAGAATAAAAACGATACAAGATCCTTTCGCAAAACTATTTAACAATAAACAAACACCAGAGAAGATTTGATGCAAAAAAAAAAAAAAGCGGGACGCAACGATACCTTAACGAGAACCGGCAGCGTTAATTTCGCTACCGACACAACCTTGCACATCCCGCGGCGCTGCACGCGGATCCAAAGTGGCCGTCAGCTGTGCGAAGGTCAGGGTCG